CCCCCCCTCCCCTTCTCATGATGAGCTGGGGTGGTGGGGGGGGTCGAACCGGCAGTGCCCCCCCCCGGTTTTCCGGAAGGGGGGGGGGGGTTCGAACCGGTAGTGACCCCCCCCGGTTTTCCGCCAGCAGCGGAAAAACACGCTCTTTCAAACATTCTGGGCGAATCCTGAAAACGTGGCTCAGTGGACTGACCTCCAGGAACTGGGCGAATCCTCAAAGCGCGGCTCCGAGGACTGACGCCGATAAATAATTAATCAATGCACTTACTATGTATTTCCTATGTTTCTGCGTGTCGCTACTTGATTCTATATTCGAAAACATACCGGTCTATTTTCGGTCCCCGTCTTTGCCTTTTTTAATGCGAGTGCGGATTTCGAAGATCCGCCAAGCAGGTCACCTGAGGATGGTGATCCCGAAGCTCGCGCAGCCTCCCAGCGTGTAAGAGCTGACAGTCAGGATACTACATCTCTAATTATCTTCCGGACTCTGGGACTATTTCGATTTCTCTCGGACTTTCTCCGGATCTCTCGGAAACCGCTCATGTACATGCAACTGCACCGTGATAAGCCGAAAATAATACTGTAATACTAATTGCCAAAGCGCCCAATATATTCCAAGACGGCTGCGCCCGGAAGCGCGCGTGCCCTGAGCTCCAAAAAGACCCCGAGAACCCCATGAGCCTCGAAGCCACGCAGCTTCGTCGCGCTCTACTTCCGGGATCCCAGACGGGGGGGGGGGGGGGGATGGCTGTCTGGGGCCCCCTAAAGGACCCCGAGCCTCCTCATGTAGAGAGCCTTCCACAAGAACCCCGTGAGAAGAAAAAAAAAAACTGGCTCCCCCAAAAGACGCGCGCGCGTGGAAGGAGATCGGCGGCATATTCATGGCGAAGCCACTGGTAGGGAGGGAGGGGGGGTGAGGCGGCACAAAGAGGAGGCCTGCTAATCCTCTTCCTCCTACTCCTCTTGCTTGCTCAGCAACTCTCCGGGTATCACAGCCGCGATGACCAAGTATCCCAACGAAGTGCCCCCTCGAACTGATCTCGATTACTCCTGGAATAGGTATCAAGTCTATCGCAAATCCGGCAAGACGGGTAAAGAAGACAATGTGGTAGCATCGCAGCATCAACGAACAAGAAGCCATCCAAAACTTTGGAACGCATCCGACAATAACGTGGCTAACGAAGATTTGTTCGAGGCGACTCCAGCAATAATATGGTTTTATATGCTAGAACGCAATAACCGCGACCCGAATTCTCATTGGGCACCCTGTTCCTCGCAATTTCTTCCCCACGCCCCTGTAAAAGAATCCCGTTGGAGCAAAAGAGGATAAACGGAATACGAAAGGGAGAGATGAGGGAGGAAGGAAACAACGCAACAACAGAGCTGGATGGAGAAGCAGCAGAGCAGCGGGGGGGGGCCAGGGCGGCCAGGGATTGCACTAAGGGTCTCGTACCTCCCCCCGGTGCCCTCGGGACGATTTATCTCAGACCGTAAAGCCCCACGCAGAGGTCGAATCATTTTAGACTAATCGATCCCCTCGCCAGAATGGCTACCCAGGTCTCAAAACGAGACCTGAAAGAGGTTGGAGAAATCAAAATAACACGACTTAGCAGGCCTTAGACCATTCCCGCCGCAATTGAGATATCTTAGCCGAGTTAAGAAATCTCTGCACCTCTGGACAGAGATAAATCTAGGAGGCACGAGCTGTTGATCCAGAGGAGGAGCGTATATACCCCTTCCCAATCCCACCTCTGATATGGGAACAGGGCGCCCCCGCGGTAACTCGAGACTCTCAAATAGGGGCCTTCTCCGGCGCCCCGAGAAGGTTATCCGCAGTGGAAAGTCCCGAGACAGTGATACATAGACACGGAAAGATTCCCACGCTCCTAAAGGACCCGAAAAGAATACTTCGATTCGGAGCCTTCGTGAGCGCAGAAATCGCCAGTTAATGAAATTGATTCAGCGGATGCAGAGCTGAATGAACTTCACTAGCTGCATTAATCCAAGGGCTCGGGCACTTACCCTTCCCCCCGACAGCGCTCAACAAGAGGGAAAACGAAAAAACGCATGGGGTACGGGAGAGATCGCAAGAAACGGCGGCAACCTTGAAATACAATTATCCCAGTGCGACCCTACCTAGGAGTTGGAGCCCCTAGGAAAGCAGCATTAGTAGTAACAGAAAAGCTAAGCTAAAGCTAAAATAAAGCTGAGCTAAAGCTAAACTAAAGCTAAGCTAAATCTAAGATAAAGCTAAGTTAAAGCTAAGCTAAAGTTAAGCTAAAGCTAAGCGATAGCTAAGCTAAAACTGAGCTAAAGCTAAGCTACAGATAAGCTAAAAGTAAGCTAACGCTGAGCTAGAGCTGAGCTAAAGCTAAGCTAGAGCTAAGCTGAAGCTAAGCTAAAGCTAAGCTGAAGCTAAGCTGAAGCTAAGCTAAAACTAAGCTGAAGCTAAGCTAGAGCTAAGCTAAAGCTAAGCTAGAGCTAAGCTGACGCTGAGCTAGAGCTAAGATAAAGCTAAGCTGAAGCTAAGCTGAAGCTAAGCTGAAGCTAAGCTACCGCTAAGCGAAAGCTAAGCTAAAGCTAAGCTAAAGCTAAGCTAAAGCTAAGCTAAAGCTGAGCTAGAGCTAAGCTAAAGCTATGCTAGAGCTATGCTAGAGCTCAGCTGAAGCTAAGCTAGCGCTAAGCTAGAGCTAAGCTAAAGCTAAGCGAAAGCTAAGCTAAAGATAAGCTAAAGCTAAGCTACAGCTAAGCTAGAGCTAAGCTAGAGCTAAGCTAAAGCTATGCTAGAGCTAAGCTGAAGCTAAGCTAGCGCTAAGCTAAAGCTAAGCTAAAACTAAGCTAAAGCTAAGATGAAGCGAAGCTAGAGCTAAGCTAAAGCTAAGCTAGAGCTAAGCTGAAGCTAAGCTGAAGCTAAGCTGAAGCTAAGCTAGAACTAAGCTGGAGCTAAGCTGAAGCTAAGCTGAAGCTAAGCTAAAGCTAAGCTGAAGCTAAGCTGAAGCTAAGCTGAAGCTAAGCTAAAGCTAAGCTAAAGCTAAGCTAAAGCTAAGCTAAAGCTAAGCTGAAGCTAAGCTGAAGCTAAGCTTAGCTGGGTGAACCCAGGGGGCGCGACTGGGGGAACCGCGGGGCGGGGACTGGGGGAACCGCCGGGGCGCTGTGCACTGCCCGGCCCTTTTAAGCTAAGAGAGTAAGAACCCTTCTAGGCAGAGCCTAGGTAGGGAAATATACGTTCACTATCTCATGCGATATATTATTATAACAACTGGAATCGGTCGCCTGGCCGGCCACCTGAGGAGGGAGGACCCATCAAAACTTGCGCGGCCAACAAAGCATATAATATTTAATAAGCAAGAGTGCCCAATATGATTCCAATGTGCCCTATCCGGAAAAGCGCGCCGAGTGAGCCCTCAGAAGCCCCGAGAACCCCTTTGAGCCTCGAAGCGACGCGGCTTCGTCGCGCCGATTTTCCGGGATCCTCGAATTAAGAGAACGCGCGCTTCCCTGGGGCGGCGGAATTTTGGCAAAGCCATTTCCAGGGAGGGGGCGACGGGGAAGGAAAGAGGAGGGAGGAGGGAGAAGGGAGAGAGGGAGGAAGGAGAGAAGAGAGGAAAAGGTTCGCCTTTTCTTTCCGGGTCCTCTTCTTCCTCCTTCTCCTCCTGTTCTTTTCCGAAATCCAGAGACGAGCAAGTCGCATTCAGAAAATGAATCGAAACCCAGAATTGCAGAAGCCCTGAACTCTACTACCCAAGAATTACATTAGAGGCCGGAGCTGAAGAAATAATTAAGCGCGAAAGCTTGGAGGCCGGAGGCCGGGAGCCCGGAGAACCCGAAAAGCCTGGAGGCCGGGAAAGCCGTAGAAACCTGAATCTTCTGCTCCTCCTGGCTCCTACTCTCCTCTGCTCCTCTTCCCTGCTCCCTCTTTCTCTTCTCCCCCACTGATCTGCTGCTGTCCTGTTGTTCTTGTTTCAATCGTTATCCTATCTTCTGTTCTCCTCCTTTCCTCTGCTCACCTTCGCTGCTATTCTCCACTTTTGTATCACCGTGCCTTCTGCCAGGAATCCGGAAATCAATCAATTTTTAATTATTTAATGAATTAATCAATTAATTTCGGATCCGAACCAGGAATCTGGACTCTGGAGTCCAATGAAAAGAAATAGAACCCCCAACACCAAACGAAAACGATGTTCTCCTCTAGACCTCTTTCGAAATCTTAGGTTACAGATCAGCTTCAATTGAACTGATGTAATGTAATGGAAACTAATTCGCAAATAATTTCCAAAATGTATGTACTTGTGAAAACGATGAGGTATGGTGGTGGTGGTGGTGGTGGTGGTGGAAAAACACACCCATCACCCTCTGCGCGTGGCTGAGAATGGGTCGAGACCTCTGGGGTTCGGCGTCATGCAAACAAGTCCGGACGTCGGGGGCCTGGGGAGAGGGGGGGGGGGGGGG